GGCTAATGGTTACACAAGCCAAAAATCGTTATGACATCATAAAGTGGCCAAAATCTGATCAGCTCATTTTCAGACAGGTTTTTATTTAAGTGGATCAGGACAAAAACTGAGCGAATCTTTTTTCCTGAAACTTTCCGAATCTCTTTACACAGAGGGGACACATGTAACATAATGTATACAAGACAGGAAAAAGTGGATTTTGCATAATAGGTGACCTTTAATGTCTTATTTAAATGTATTTGAATGTCATTTTATAATTTGTTTCTGTTGCACTATATCTTATTGATTTGAGTTTTATGTAAAGCACTTTGAAAGCCTTGAGTTGAAATGTACTATACTGTATAAACAAACTTTCCTTGCACATTTTGTCATACTTACCCGTACAATTGAAAGTACCATTTACTTATATGACCATTATAACTTGGTCATATCTAATTTCAATTTCTGCTTAGAATATTTCTCAACCAAGAATCAATAATAATATCATATGACATTATCTCCATGAACAACAATTCATAGAACTGCTTTATTTTGTATTCATTCTGATTGATTCAAAACACACACACATACAGCCATCTATTTATCCTCACGTATAAATAGATGAATATACACAGATATACATAAATACACATTTCTGATATGCATATTCATTTTGAAATCATGCTATGTCTCTGTAAAGGACTCTCCCTATTAGATGAGGGCACACAGCGATTTTAAAACACGTACACAACACAGCTGAACAGTTGGAAGAATCCCTATTGATTTGCATGTACAGTAAAACCCACAAATCTCTCAATGTTGGATATCTTACAAAGAAACAGCTGTGGTTTATAGACCATAAATATACATCAGCTGAATCTCCATAAACACACTGAAGAATATGGTACAGTAAATTATGTAGATTGCAATCATTTCTTGCCCAGCAGCAAAAATAAAACCAAATAAAAATAATATTCTCCGATTCAAATGGAAAATATATTTGTATATCTTTATATATGTATTTATAATTTTATGTACACATTCGCAGGAGCACAACTATGAGAAATAAAAATAAATACAACAGCACAAGTGAAAAAAATATAAACGAAAGGCCTACATGTTGATTTTCTCAATAAGGCAATAAAAACGTAAAAGCTAGACTTTCTTTTTTTACAAAATATTGCTGCTATGGTTTCCATCTGATAAACAACAGCAAACTGATTACAAATGGCCACTGCACGTCATGGGAACAAACTGATTTCTACTTCACAATGTCCGACATTAATGTGTCCTCCCTCACTAACACACACAGAAACGCACCGACCCACTGAAGATACAGTTTCTGAAGTTAGATAAAAAAATCAGTTTGTCGAACTTGAGAGTCCTACGATGTCAGCCACAGAGACGACAGTAAACACTAACGCTACAATGACTGTGATTGACCACACACACACACACACACACACACACACACACACACACACACACACACACACACACACACACACACACACACACACACACACACACACACACACACACACACTTGATAATCCTTAAAGAAATGCTGCCACATATCAGCCTGTGTGAGCAGAAATGAAGATAATGTGATGTATGTTTTATTTGGCCTCTTTCACTATTTTATCTTCAGGTCCTCTTGATAAGTGCAAACAACATTCAACCCATTTACAAACTACTGTGTCTCCCCACACTGCAGCATACTGTGTTCATTCAAATATACAGATAACAGGTACAATATCAACTGCAAATACTTACAACTGATGCTCTACATCTACAAACATTGGAAATATCCTGTCAATAGATTTTTCTTATTCTGAGGATGTCGACCAGATATAGCATCTGTCACTGATATGCTTTCCCCCCCAACCTAAAATAAAATACATGTGTTATTGTTATATATGATTTGTGTGCATCTGTCCAACAATAGGGCAACACTGGAAGACATTGCAATGATATGAATGTGACCATAATGACTGACAATGTCTGCTGCCTTAGTGTTGCAATTAATGCCTTTCTATTTCGAAGGCTAACGTCATAAGCCCTGTTTTGTTTCTAAACAAGAGCTGTAGTGGAAAAAGTCGTAACACTGACTGAAATCGACAAACGTGATGTAAAAGCAAAAGCAAAGAAAGCTGCAGGATTGAAATTATCAAAGCAAAAATGAAAAAGTCTTTGGATGCAAAGTAAAACAAAAACATTTAAAGCAATTAAAAGTTTAAAACACCAGCAAACAGTAAAAGCTAAAAATACAAACAGAAAAAATAAATGAAGGCTCACAGAAGTAAAAGAAGAAAAGTTACAAAAAACATTAGATATAAATACATTATTATGCTATGAATGAAACACGTCGTCATCACTGTGTATATTGACTAATGAAATGATGTGTTTAAATTCTTCCCTCTGTAAAATAAGCTGCATGAAATCCCTACTGGAAATGTGAGGACAGGTCTAGATGTTACGTGATTGGCCGAACAATGGTTATTATTGACACTCCAGTTCTATGCGCACAAGCACAACCCTCCAACAGCACAGGCCTGAACACTCACTCCTCATCAGCAAAATGACATCTCCATGTGACCACGTGCAGGAGCAACATTGTGAGTTTAAAGGCCAATCTTAACCCAAAATCATGTCATGACGTCTAACCTTCTGTGTTTCTTTCGTTTAGTTGCTGAAAGAAACTTTGATGCTAGGTAAGAGTAAAGTCAGTACCAAGGAGGGTTGATGGGCTTATCCTGATAAATCCACAACATGCACAGTTCAGTGTGCTGCCCTGCAGAGTGAGGGGTCACGCCTGTAAAGCCTGTTAAGAGAGCTGTGCTTGTGGGAACTAGAACATACTGTACTATGCATTTAAAAAGTATTCACATCACTTTGAAGTAATCATGTGTTATTGTTCTTATAACATTGAAGTTTTAATGTGGCCATGAGACCTTCCAAGTGGAGTGAATACTTCTCATAGGCACAGTAAGTTACTATGATCTGTCATGTATTTCAAACACTTAAGACTACAGCCGTACACACACTACTGTAAGTCACACATACACATTATTATTAAATCGGTATAATTTTCTTTTTTGTCAAGGGTGAAAGGCAGGGATGGTTGGAAATCAGTGACGTTCCCCACTTTTTCCCCTCTGGTACGCAAGTCACTTTTCCCTCAGTGTGTTCAGTTTCTGTATGTTTTAAGTCCTGGTTCAGACAGAGATCCTGCTGCTACCGCTGAGGTCCGGACTTCAGACCGACGATTCCTCTCCACTGAGACGTTCGCTCCTCTCTGCCAGAGAACAGGGTTTACTGTTGGAGACACACAGAGTCAATGCATTAGGCAGAGTGCACACAACAATGCATGAGAAGATTGTTACACCCTGGGGAAATACAATTGTGTATCCTCTCATGCATCAGTTGGACATGATAGTGAAACAGTGAGTCAGGAGGAAATAGGGAACTAGGATAGGTAAGGCAAGCGGAAATCTGAAAAAACAGCACACAGAGTAACTGAAAACCAGAAGTGAAGGGATTCGTGCCATTCAATCTGAGCGAGCATTAATTCAACCTCTAACAAATATCTGCTGTGGATTAAGAGGAACAGCTATCATCAAGTAATGCTGCAAAGTAGGAGTTTCCTGAGACTATATGAAATCACATTAGCTGCATAATTAAAATTAAAATAATGGCCTCCTGTTTCTGCAGTATAGAAGTCGTTTTTTAAAAGATAGCCATATAGCCAGTTCATTTCAGAATTGCTGATCATCATGCTTATGTGAAACAGGGATCAAGTTAAATATGATCTTATGTTCCAAACACATTTTTTGGATGTCTTTTGAATTAACTGGATTCATCAGAAATCTCTCCACGGAAGTTAAATTCAGAGATCCCTGGTGTAAAGATGTGTCGGAGCAGATGAAAAATAAAATAAGCAGGTCAAAAAATTTCAATGGCTGATGACACTTTATTGGAGCATAATTCTGCAACACAAAACAAAGTAGAGGGGCAGCCTGCGTAACACAACCTCATAAAACAGTGACCACTTTTTTTATTTAACCGCACGTTTTTATGACTTTATATAAATAAAGTTTTACTGAGAGGCAGATGGCTCTATCGGGGGTAGGAACGTTTCAAATATAAACCCTCACACTGAAAATAAGAGAAAAACTCTTTAAATAAACTCAATGGACTCAAATGACCAAAAAAGGTCTAGAGTTAATATATATTAGGATAAAAATAAATCCACCACATTACCTCAGGTTGATTAAATGAGGTGAGTTTAATGTTCATATTTTTAGTGTGAATGTCTAGCAGCATGGGTGTGGGAGTGTGGTGATGCATGAGTGTGATGGCTTCCTGCAGAGCGATGTGGTTTGCTGTGGGAGGGACACAGGATGGCTGCTCGTGGACTGAATGGTCATGCAAGCTGCAAGTGACCATTTCCACCAACGTGTCAATGAGAAATGAATGCTGTAATGTAGGGGTGGTTTTCTGGCCAGCCTTTCGAACCTGAGCTTTTTTTTTCTACATTTACTGTAGAAGCTTCTCACGCAGCTCTAACCTGACGTTACACCTGATCCTTTCCATCTTTGTTACCCCAAATGAAACACAACTGATTTTATACCTGGGACTTTCCTGTACTTCATTATTTTAGTCCGATGCTTCTCACTTACTGTCTCTCCTTCCCAATCCCCATCTGGCATGGCCTTAGACTCTGAGCCATAGTGTAGCGGAGAGTACACCCAGGTCCTGTCGTCTTGAGGCTGTTTTTACACACCCACCACAGCAGAGGGGGCCAGAGGGACAGAGGACAGGCCAGAGGCACAGAGACAAGCAGCAGGGGCAGGCAGGAGAAAGACATGGGAGATCACAGGAGAAGAAAAGACAAGACAGGAAATGAAAATTAGGGATGCAAATAGGAGGAAATGTTGCTGAGAGACATCGGAAAGTGTGAATTTGACATATCAAGTAGGTGTAAAACTGTTAAAGATTGTAAAAGGATGTTGTAATCCTTTTGGCGGTTAGCACACTTGAACACAGAGATGAAAATTTGGCAGATAACAGGTTGTTTCGGAACAAAGAGTGATTTTAGGAATTGCAATATTACGATGGGTCTGACTGACGTGTTTAAATCATATTTCTTAATGAAAATGAAGTGTGCAGAGCAAGGGAATGGGTCGCGGCATCAGCCTCGGGGGGGGGGGATGAGGACCGGGATGGAAGAATGGGGAGAAAGCCAGGATGCCAGGAAATTCATACAGAGCATCCTCAGTCAAAGCAAAACGCGACAACAGCTGTTTGTCTCCTTTTCAACAAGCAAACGAGCACTTTGCATAATGTCAATAAAAGCTTCTGTAGGTTACTTAAGGTACCGGCCCTTTAGGTTTGTTGGTGTAGGTTGATTTCACATGTTTACACACACTCACGCAAAACTCAGCACGATGAACCTAACACATTCACACAGGTGTAATAGAGGAGGAGGGAGGCTGTGAGTGAGTGAGGAAGCAAATGGGGATTCAAAAAAGATGATAAAAGATTAAAAAAAAAAAGAAAAAAGACTGCCAAGTAAATATTTTTTATCTGCATCGCACATTTTATTTGAAGAATAGGTAGTGTTTTTTTTTAGTTTTTAACACAATCACACAAACACATGAGGTTAAAGGGCCCTATTATGCTTGTTGGGGTTTTCCCTCACCTGTAATGGTTATCTAGGGTTAGGGTGCATGTAAATGGTCTGCAAAGGCTAAAATTCCAAAGTTCCAACCCCCCCCCTGCCCCCCAGCTTGAAACGCCTCTATTGTACTCCGTTGTTTACCTCTGTAACACAGTGACATCACTATGAAACACTCGTTCTTCTTTTGGCTAGCGCTCCAAAACATTGTACTTCATAGGCTAAGAGGTGGGACATCTCTAAGCGGATGACCAATCATAACAGATCCCGCCAACTAACCAATCAGAGCAGAGTGGGCTCTGGTTTCAGACAGAGGGTGAAAAGAGGTGCTGCAGCACAGGCAGTATGAGAAAAATAAAGAGCTTTTTGAACATCAAAGCATGGAGACATGTCACAGTAGAGGCACACAAATATGAACCTGAGAATGAGCAGAATAGGGCCCCTTTAACACATCACACAAGCTGCAGTTAAAACCATATTGTGTCACAAAACCACGGCGATGTACTCGGACTAATCTATTCTAATGCCAGGACAGCAACCGGCTATAATACTAACACCATCTCACTTACGGGCCAACTGGACTGGCATTTCTTCCTCAGTCGGAAAGGAGAGACCACCCAGGTCCTCCCATCGGGAAACTGACAACAATATGTGTGTATGGCACAGAGACAAACAAAAAAGAGATGAAATGCAAGACAGAGGGTGACAGGGGAGGAAAAGTGCAATAACATGATGAGGTGAAAATGGAAAACACTGTTCTGAATGCGTGTGAGATACTGTGGGTAAATCAGCGGTGACAGTTAGATTAACAAGTCTGGCAGCAACTCTGTTTTCCACACGACACAAAAGTATATCAGCACTTTCATCGTGACTCATGAGGCCGTCACAGGAGAGAGACAAAGCTGAGGGAATGAAGAGAACCGGAGGAGACTGATTTCAGGATAAGATGGAAACAGGGTAAGGTGAACCTTTTTTTAGGGGTAGGGGTAAAATGTGACAACAGCGCAGAGGAGGATGGAGGTGAAGAATTGAAGAAGAGGGCTAGCAGACAATACGAATAACAATCAGATGTGGATGACAGAGGTGAAGGGGAGCAGAGCGTGAATCATGAAAAAGTGAATGTGGAGAGTGCCGATGCTGAATAATTTAGTCACGAGCCACCCTGAGGAACCAGTGAACTGATGACAGACAGACAGACAGACAGACAGACAGACAGACAGACAGACAGACAGACAGACAGACAGACACACACACACACACAACAACAACACACACACCTGAGTCCCTTCAATCTCACAGCTGAAAGATGCGCTGTGTTTCCCCCGAGGTGCAACATGACCACAAATGGTGCCAGCTCTTGTTTAAAAATTCTGACATATTCCCTAACCCTTCCTTACTGTATGACTCAATGCTTTGAAAAACACTGTCCTCTAAGTCTTAGTGTGTAAATCTGCAGTTTACATGTGCACTAAACAAATGCCAGCATCAGGGTCTAATTATTTTACTTGTGAAAAGAAATGCAAGTTGCTGGGGGCGAAGAAGGACTGACCACTGAGTTATTTTGATTTTATTTTATGAAACATCAACCTAGTCAACCAAACCCACTGATAAAATCAATTCATTTGCTTCCCTTGAAACTACTCCAAAACCTGAAGGATATGAGAAGCAATTATAAAGTATGGATACAGGGGCGATAAAAGTGACATTGTTTCGAGGTTCTTGATTTTTCAGTGTGAATGTTGAGCATCACCATGTGAGGTTGAGCAGCCATGGAGAAACGTGATTTGTGTGGGATGTCAGAAGTGATGATGATGATGAGGATGGAGAAAGCATCAACAGAGAGGGAACACAAAGGATGATCAGATGGTGGATTGAGCACCTCAACAGCAGAACTGACTGAAATTAGTTTTTTTCCAAAGTAGTTCTGTTTTTTCGTTTTTTTAAAAATATGTTTTTATTGTCTGATGTCATTGTCCCAAAAGAAACAAAACTCAAGTAACCTTTATTTAAAGTTATTACTTCAGTGGAAAAGAGCAACAATTATATATTGAAGCAGAAAGTGTCATCAGATTAAATCATGTTGGGAATTAAAAAAATAACATATACCTTATTATACAAATATATTTAGACTTATTTTGAATGATGGTCTTTTGGAGTGCAACACTCTGGATTTATTAGAAATATCCACAGCTGGAATAATTTTACAAATAATATACTACTTATAATATTAGTCTAGCCTAATTGTAATCTGCAACTGTGCACAAATACTGGGTTCAAATTAAATAAGAAATGCAAAAATGTTGATTTATAAGCATTATGAATAAAGCTTAAACAAATTGTTACTGCCCTATAATTTACCGGAACATAATCTGTGTGAAGTTTGGATCCCCGCAGCATGTAATCAGCTTCTGAAACAGATGACTTTCCCTCAGTCCCACCCCCCCCCCTGCAGCATGTTTCTGTGTAGTTACACTTCAGGGTGCCACAGTGTCACTTCACTTCACCTCGAGCAGCGCCACAGACCCCCTGCTGCTGAGTGTCCGGCCTTTGAACTGAGCATCAGACGGAGCCGGTCAGATGAGAGGCCTGTTAAATAACTCAGGGAGCTCTTTGACTAACCTGTCGGCCATTAGTATTCCTCCTGCCACATTAGAGGGTGTTTGATTCCTGATAGGGGACACTCAGCAGGCCTGCAGCCGGGTGGGAAAGTTTCTATCTGACACTTTGATCACTGGCTCCACTTTCCATCCTCCACCTGACACTCGTACATTGATTCATAGCTGTGCTTTTGGGAACATTTAGACCAACACGACACTATCTGATAACTAGATCATCTGCTAGACTGACACACACACGAGCTGACTGCAAACGCTTGGTTGTTATTCACTCAGAATGAGCTGCTGAGTGTGTCAGTTTATCATATTAAACAGGAACTCCAAAATGGTGTTGACATGCAATATCAATCTGCAAACACTCAGCACCAGAGTGCACACTGCAATACACTGTGTTCACAACATAGTGTTAAATAGTTCTACAGTTTGGGAATCATGCTTATTGGCTTTCTTGTTGTAAGTTGGATGAGAAGATGGATAACACTCATGTCTGCACACTTATATGAAGCAACAGCCAGCAGGCTTTTAGCTTAGCATAAAGACTGGACACAGGGGAAACGGGTACTTTGTGTCTGTCCAAAACAAAGAGAATCTATCTTCTAGCACCTCAGAAGCCTACTGATTAAAATGTTTGATATGTTGGTTGAACTTGGTTTTGTGCTTATCTTCTCATATAACTCTCTGAAGAAAACTCAAAAGTCTATTTCCCAAATGTCGACATGTTTCACACACTGCAAGCAATAACTGCACACACTCTTATTCCCATACCAGCCTGAGTCGCTACTTCCTTTCTTTGGTCCTTCGGTCAACGCCTCTGTGGGATATCATGTAGCTTTATACTGACTTTATGATCATAAGTACATTGTTAATTACAAATATAGCTCATATCAGTGACGACACACAATGGCCCTGATTAAATATCAAAGATGAGATGATGGCTAAAATAAGAGGTCAAACTTAAAAAGATGAGAAGTGATGGGAGATGTGTTCATTTAAGCTTAACATGGATTTGAAGTAATCTAAAAGTGTGTGTGTGTGTGTGTGTGTGTGTGTGTGTGTGTGTGTGTGTGTGTGTGTGTGTGTGTGTGTGTGTGTGTGTGTGTGTGTGTGTGTGTGTGTGTGGAGTGGTTTTGCTTACAAAGTAGATATCTGTGATTGGCACGTCGTCTTCATCGTCGAACGTCTGTTGAATGAACTAAACTTTCTCTTTTACTCTGTCTTACAAAGTACACTTCTCACGACCTCCGCCACTCCTTTCTGTTTTATCGAAGTAGAAGATTTAATCATTTTCGGTCTTACATCTTTTTTCCCCTCGTTTTACCTATAATTTCGTGAATTTCTCAGACTATATGTGTAATATTTATATCTTCTAAAATAGTCAAAAACTAATACGTCCTCGCGTGTTTCTCATCTATATATATGAAAATATTTTCTGTATAGTTTACTTTACCTCTCCTACGCACAACTTCCCAGTCTGTAGGGGGGGGGGGATTAAACAGATCGGTTAGAGATCTACGTTTGAAGTCGAAACGTAAAGGGGGGAGTCCCGGTCTGCCGGCCCGAAAAGGAGTCAGACTCCCGAAAATCGAGTGTCTGTCCTTCGACTCTTTCGTTACACCTACAAAGAATTTTAGGAAAGATTTATCACTTACTAGGACCGGTTCTTGTGATGACTAATAACGGGTCACGTGTCGGTCGACCGTTTAGAAACAGAATTCGTCGATTTGTGTTCTTGTGTGTTGTGTGTGAGTGTGTGTGTGTGTGTGTGTGTGTGTGGTGTGGTCGTGTGTGTGTGTGTGTGTGTGTGTGTGTGTGTGTGGTGTGTGTGTGTGTGGTGAATGAGTAGACACCCCAAAAGTCGGTCGAACAAACGAGATTATCGAAACAGGACGGAAGGAAGACGGGGACGACGGGGGTCCTTCACCAACTACATTGACTGGGTTATTTACCGAGGTTACCAACCGTTGAAGACACACACACACACACAACACACACACACACACACACACACACAACACACACACACACACACACACACACACCACACACAAACACACGACACACAACACACACACACACACACACACACAACACACACACACCACACACCACACACACACACACGACACACACACACAACGCAGCCACACACACACCACACAACACACACACAAGACACACACCAACACACACAGATGCTCACCAACAAAGAAAACAAGGATTTTGGTGTGTCCGGAGACAAACTATTAAATGTCGTGATGAGTAATAACACAAATTTAGACATAAAGCAGTGTGATCCTGTATTGCAGTTTTCATGACACACTTCAAATTAACTTTCCACCTTACACACAATTTGTGTTGTCTGGCCATCCCCCAGAATTAAAACAGGCTCCCCCCCAATCGCTGAAACTTCGGAACCCTAGTCGTGATTGAGAAGTGTGTAGGGTAGGTCGGGGGAGTGTGTCGCTCCAAAGACCCTTCCACGGACCCTCGTCCCGTCGGCGACGTCGTCGAGGGAGGTCGAGAAGTAGTCGTGGGCTTCGGTCGACGGTCGAGGAGGAGGAGGAACTGACGGGGCGACTAGGGCAAGAAGGGCCCCGTCGGCCACCTTCGTGGAGGGTTCAGGGGTTGCCACCACCACCACCTACGTCCTGTCCCGGTCGGTCCACAGGCCGAGCCCGCACGTGGTCG